AGTTAAATTACAACTACCGCATTGCATTTTGTCAAGTCTGACTAACGGGAGCAATTTTTTTTAACTGTATTATTGTTCGAAGGGGACTTTTGTCTCAGAATAAAATTATTTGTTCATTCATCCAAATTTATATGAAAACAGCTTCAAATGCCAAAGCATGAAAACTAGTGTTGGTTCTTCAATCATACCTGTGTTATTCTTCCTTTATAAAGTCGTAATTTAGCAGAAACAGGGTTATGGGTGAAAATGATGTTCTATAAGCTGTCAAAGCAGTTATCAAAATTATTCAAAATTAAATAATAAAAATAAGATGAAAACTGGAATGTTTAATGTATAGTAATGTTGAATTGCAGTAGTGAAATTAGGAAGAAATACCGAAACAATTCTTCATTTCATCAAGAGGAATACATAGGCTAAATATTCTGGAACTTGAATTACCAAAACTTACCATGTCTTATCAATAGTATCAACAACCTTGGGAACATACCTGTTGGGCAGTAAAAAACTACTAATACATAATAAACTGATACTAGCCCGTCAAGCATGCACGCTGGTAACGATAGTATCACAACATTTTCAAGGCGCTGAACTCGATATTGACTCAGAAAATAAGGGCGTGTTGGAAATGCTTGTAATTAGGATTAGTGAGAGAGATATTCTTACAGAGTTTGTTAATTCTCTAAGATCACAGCACCTCATTGTTAATTGTTAGTTACATTTTTACGAGTTTTTCGTTCTGAAATAAATTGTTACTAACACATTTAAAATTATTAAGATTGTGTAAAACAAAAATTAGCTGGCTAATGAAGTAATGAAAACGTTTACTATGAAATTGGCGCTTACAACTATTTCCTGGAAAATATTATTTAATAACATTTTTTTGAGATTACAGCTTTACGTTCAATTCTCAATGTGAAAATTAATTTTTTATGAGCTCCATAATTTCACATTTCACTTTCCATTCTCAAACGGATTCATACGGGTCTCCGGACATTCCTCTGTAATTTTAGCAATTTGCTAATAAGAAATGAAATTGTAAAAAAAATTATAAAAATTATGAATACATTAAATTATCCGAAACCGAACAGCGCTTTGCCATAGAAACAGGCGCAGTATCAGTTGAAAACCCGAGTGATGAACAGCAGAACAAAGCTCTGCGTTTGATTTTGGGTGCACCGCGCTCAACCCCTGTTGTAGCTATGGAACTGCAGACCACAGTAGAACCTCTATCGAAACGGCGTGAGCGAGCTGCAATGTGCCTTCACGAGCGAATGAAAAGAATAGACCAAGAGTTTTGGAAAAAATACAAAATCCCCTCTCAGCGGCTCAAGACACAAAAATCCTTCATGCTGAAGGTGATGGCACTACTTGAAGAAAGAGGGCTTGACTGCGAAGAAAGGGAACCATTTATACATCCACAGTTACGAATTCACAATCACGCATTCAATGCAGAACTGCAACTCCTTCATAAGGTGGATAAGAAAAAAACACCTGAATACGAGCTAAAAGCATTAGCATTAGAAACCATAGCTCAAAAGTACCCTTCTCAAGATTGGCTCCATACCTACACCGACGGATCAGCTGAATCAGCCGTTAAAAATGCTGGAGCAGGGGTTTACTCAAGGGAATTCCAAATCAGCGCTGCGGTGGGAAAAGATGGAACAAATTTCGACGGTGAGATAGCGGTGATCCTCATAGCCTTAAGAACATTGTCTGGAAGGCGGAATCAGAGCGCTGTTCTCTTCATCGACTCCCAAGTAGCCATCCTTGCTGTCACAAGCACGAATGAATGTTAATCGAGTGCTATATTGGAATGTAAATCCCTCCTCTCTAACCTGACACACCGAGGCACCAATGTGGTCCTACAGTGGATCCCCTGCCATTGTGGGATTCCGGGTAACGTTGAGGCTGATATTCTTGCCAAGCGAGGAACAGATTTGCCTCAGTCGATACATCCAAAACCTTACGACTCAATACGGCGAATGGTGAAGATGGTAGTGAAGGAGGAAATAAGAAAAGTACATTTCGGCAAAGTGGAAGGGAAGCGTTACGAGTGGTTGAAGGATAATCCGATTCCAGCTGAGCTGCCGAGAAGAGATGCAGTTGCCTGCTTCCGCCTGGCTACTGGTCACGACTATCTGCAGAGTCATCTCTACAAGATAGGCGTCGCTGAGGATCCTACCTGTAAATTGTGTCATCAAGGAACAATGGATGCAGACCATCTAGACGCATGTCCTGCCTTGAGGGACATAAGAGACAAAATATTTCCGAATATACATATAAGAAAGTCTAAATTATACTGGGCAGCAAGATGTCGGATGGCCAAATGACCAACGACTGGCATAAGAAAAAAAAAAAAAAAAAAAAAAAAAGTATTCGCTGATAAACAAAACGGCTTTCAGAGATTTTTTTTTTATCAGTTTAATGAAACTGGTCATAAACATTCATTTTTTTCTCGCATATTTTAAATTAATTTCATTTTAACACATCTTTTTATTTATTATTATTCAAATTGCATATATTTGTGCTCTATTGGATAGTTACTATCTCAAATTGCCTGATTTCTTCCCTGTTTATTAGTCCTGTTTGAACGGAGAAATTCTGCTATCTCGTTTAGAACCTCGTCCAGAAAATTCAGAGGTTTTTCCTTGTAGATGTGTATATTGAAGAAAAGAAATGAGTCAGTGAGACGGAAACAGTTGTCGAAAGATGTTTTAAAAAATACTCAATCAGGATAAACGAGAAACATTTCAATTTAATTTCTGCCACATAATGTGGCTTTAAACAGTGTTAAAAATGTTTGAAATTTGTTTGAAAACCGATTTCCCATTCACATGATAAAAGAGTAAAAGCGAATGAAACATCAGAAAATCTTCTTTAGGAGGGAGTGATCAGAGAAACGGACATTCAGGATGTTATATCACTGTGTAATAAGTTTAGTCCTTTAGTAAAGAAGAGAACCTGTTCGCTTGTGCGTGCTATTATATCGGGGAATTAGGAGATAAGAATTTAAAATTACGACTCATAGTTGCATTGTGAGCAGTTCTTCCTCTATTCTGCTGCCCCATATCTGATTTTTATTATTGCTAAACTTTTCGGGGACAATGATGATTATTTAGTTAGTTAAAATTGGTAATTATTGTTTTAGTAGTTATTGCACACAAACTAAAACGCTGCAAATTATTTCACAATGCTTTATTATTTCTCAACAATTATAGTGACAAATTAAAAGAAATAAAATGTTAATTCCAATTATTGGCCTAAAATTTTTTTTTGCTCCTATCTTACTGATAGATACTTCAAAGTAAACCAAAATAATGTCTTCTCATCCCTCTTTGCTCAATCTGCAGGCGTTCCACAAGGTAGTATCCTCGGTCCCATCCTCTACACAGTTTATACAGCTGACTGACATCCCAACCCATCCTGACACTGTCATCACCACTTACGCCGATGACACATGTTTGCTATCTGTTAATAACGATCCTTTAATTGCATCCCAAACTCTTCAATCACATATCACAAGCCTTAAAGAATGGTGTAAAAATTGGAGAATAAAAATAAATTCCAACAAATCCCATCAAATCACCTTTACCCTCCGTCGTAAACCTATGACGTCTTGTCCTACAGTAACTTTCAATAATACACCACTTATTCCTGTTGAGCAAATCCGCTATTTAGGACTCCATTTGGATAAACGTCTTACTTGGAATCCTCATACTAGACTGAAACGACAAGAAACTGCTCGACGTTTCCGACTGCTCCAACACTTACTAGACAAACGCTCCAAACTTTCTATTAATTACAAAAGACTTATCTACATAACTATAATAAGACCTATATAGACATACGGAGTTGAGCTTTGGGGCTCCAACAAACCATCGAATTTCTATCGTATCCAATCCTTACAATCCAAAATCCTCCGTAAATTCTTTAATGCTCCATACTTTGTCACAAATAAAACTATTCATAAAGACCTTAATGTACCATATGTCGCTGATTTAGCTCGAGCCAGATATCTATCCTTTCATGATAAACTTCAGTCCCATCCAAATCCGCTTCTTTCCACTCTTGCTTCTTTCTCGATTCCTGATAATCCTCCTAGGCGTCTGAAAAGGAGATGGCCTCGTGATCTTCTTACTTAAAATTATTTAGAGAGTGCTACCACTGGGTAGTAACTCTTCAAGCCTGTACAAGCCATTATTTATATTTGCGCATATTTACTTGTTGTATTTGTATACAGTTGTAAATTCCATTAAATAAACAAAAAAAAAAATTTTTTTTTCATCATTAGAAATTTGCTAAAAAAAAATAATAGCATTATTTTAGTAACACATTCAAACATCCAAATCCAAAACAAAAGATTTGCAGTAGAGCATAAAAAAAAATCTAGAGATTATATCTTTGCTCCTAACTATCCGATTTTAACGACTTTTTTTTTAGGATATTTCTTAAACTTGAAAAAAAATTATCACAATATCAACAAAAAAGTATGTACTTTTTGAGTTTTTCGGGATCTAATTTTACCATCAGTCGTAATTTTTTTCCAGCTTCTTTTCGTTGAAGTATGTTGTATAAATAAATTTAAAGGGCATCAAGAAGAAGACAAAATTGGCCATCCTTATGTATAGACATTTAGATAATATGTTATTGCATTTTTTCTATCTTTTCGTTTCTCCTAGGCTGCATTTATTCAATGAAAAATAATTTGTTGTTTCAGTGGCATGTTTAACAACATCAATATGTAATTACTACTCCAGTGTAAAATTAGGATTATAAATTATTAAATATACGTACTCTAAAGATGGTTGAAAATATGCTTAACCTTCTTTCTACTGATAATTCTGAAACCTTTTCGAGACAACAAGGACCATTTTGTGGCAAAAAAATGTCCTTTTATTACATTTATATGTACCATGATGATTATAATTTATACAATGTTATTATATTGATTACATAGATATAATTCAATGGATAACATTAACTTAACTTTTTTTTTTCAGTCGGAAGATTAAACGAGGATTTTCAATTTTGTACTTTGGAAGAATCCGATTCCCCAAATGACGCTTGTCAAAGTGACTCCGGAGGACCGTTGGTATGCAATGGTGTGGTGTGGGGCTTGGTCTCGTGGGGCGAAGGCTGTTATCGAACCGGAAATCCCGCGGTCTATGCGAGGGCCGACGTTGCCAGTAGATGGTTGAGAGAAGTCGTCTACGTCAGTCCTCTCGGCGGAAGAAGGAGGTCTAATTCTCATACTTGCCTAATTTCCTCTACAAAAAATATCATTTTGATAATACTGATTTTATTGTGTGCATAAGTGACCACAACGATATTAAATAAAACATTATTAAGTAAGCATTGAAGAATTAGTAGTCGAGTTTGATAAGATTTTACACATAATAAGTTCAAACGTAAAAAAAAAAAAAAAAATCAATACACATTGGTATGAACAGGAAGGAAATAATGAAAGAGAGAGGTATAACTGGAATTAGCATATTTTTTAGTTATTTTAGAGAAATATTTTTTTTGTTTATAGTTTATTGAATAGTAATACAATCTGCAACATTGAAGATCAATTAGTATTAAAGCTATAAGAGCTCATTCGTGCAATATATACAAACAAGAGGAAAATATATATAAATATTTTTTTAAAAATAAAGAAATGTATATAAATTATTAATAGTAATAGTTTTTAACACATTCATATCTATGTACAATATTTAAATTCTCCCTCTGAACTGCGAGCTAAACTTTGTCCTATGTGGAAAAAAAAGCAAGACTCGGAAGTTTCCAGTTCTTCTCTTATACCCGGTATTAGAAGCCAGTGGAAACTGAAAGAGGGTATTCGACTCACAGACGTTCAGGACTTGAGTGGAGAAGCTGGCAATTGTTAGGATCTCAAAAGTATATTTACCATTTTGACCTTCGAGGAGAATAATAGGGATGGTTGGAATTTGATAAGGATTGTATACGTTTGATGTTCGAAAATTTAGCTGTCTCCCACAGTTCAAGTCCGTAGTTCCAAATGGGTTTCAGTATGTTCTTGTAGATTACTAATTTGTTTTCGATTGAAAGATGAGATTTTCTGTTTGAGAATCTGTATAACTGGCCAAATCGTCGGTTTAGCTCTTGTATTTTAAGTCTGGTGTTTGGGTTCCTAGTCAGTCTTATGTCTAAAAGTAAGTCAAGATACCGGGCACTATCTGAGATGGGAAGTGGAAAAGAGCTAAATAGGATTGGCAGACAGGATCTGCGCCGGAGGATTAAAGTGACACGGTTACATTTTGATTCATTAACTCTGACAAACTAATTGTTAAACAACTGCTCAATCTTTGCAGGATGCTATTTTGGGATCTGAGTGGGAGAACAGGGTGATGGTCTCATCGGCAAATGTTGCTAGGAAGGTTTCGAAATCTGTAGGGAAGTCAGCAGTGAGGACTAAGACATGAATTATATGAAGTAAACTGTTTGAAGGTCTTCATTGATAATAAATATTCATAATAACCAGTCATGTTTTCCATTACGGGTAGATACCAAACGTTTCAACTCCTGCTAGTGGATCATCATCAGGGTGAAAATTAAATCTGAAGTACACAACATATAAATTGTGTATAGAACAAAGAATCAAGGAAATTAATATCGAAAAACAAATAGACAGTAAATAAATAGATGAAAGTTAATTTAAGTGTTAAAGATACATTTAATAATATAAAAGTATAATCACCTGTCACGTTAACTCGCAATCCCTTCCCGCCCATTATGATGAATTCCTGCAGTACTTTTCTCAAAACTTTTTTCACATCATCGCAATCTCAGAAACCTGGCTCAAACCCTATATTCCGTCCTCATCGGTCTCCTTACCTAATTACACCCTCATCCGCCACGACCGGGTCAGCCGGATTGGGGGGGGGGAGTGGCCATATTTGTCCATGATTGCCTGAAGTCCCGAATCTTTGATTTCTCCCCACCCTCCGAACATCCACAAGTGGAGTACCTTCTAGTAGAAATTACCTGTAATAATTCCCCCCTCCTTTACAAAGTGATCTACCGTCCTCCCCTTGTTCCATTTGATCCGTCCTTAGAATCAACCCTACTCAACTTTGTTCTCCTCTATCATAGAATAATCATTGCCGGTGACCTCAACACCAATTTCCTTTCCAATTCCAAAGACAAAACCTATCTAGAAAACCTATTTTTTCCCTCCATCTCTTTATTGTTCCTTTTTATCTTACTCACCATACCCACAAGGCCGACACTTGGTTAGATTTCTTCATTATAGACTCCGAACTAAATCTCCTCTCCTCTTCTCAACTGCCAGTATACTTTTTATCGTCTCACGACCTGATCCTAATAACATATAATATCCAAACCCCTCTGATTTATCCGAGAACCTTCACTTTCCGTCAGATAGACACTCTCACCCGTGAAAAAATACTGCCTGACCTTGAAACCTTAGACTTGAACGAAATATATTCCTGCTCCTCCATCGACTTCCATGGTTGAGATCCTGACTTCCAATCTCCTCAATATCCTTAACACCCATGCTCCCATAAAAACCTTCGCCTCCGCCTCTTTCGCCGCCGGCCTGCACCTTGGATGTGTCGAGAAATTAAGGATCTGCAGAAGAGGCGTGATGCTGCCCGTAGACGCTTTAGACGTACCAGGCTTACAGATGACTATCAAGCGTTTAGGGTGCTCCGCAATTTGACACAAACAAGAATTCGGTGAACTAAAGCTTCCTACTTCCATGAAGCCCTTTCATCTGCCCCAGATCCCAAATCTAAATGGCTAATCCTTCGCAAACTTTCCCTCTGTGAACCTTCCAGATCCCCTTCCTCACTGGTCTCTTCCGTTTCACCTGACGATTTAAATTCACATTTTATTTCTGCCACCTCTACCTCTTCTCTTCCCTCCTCTTCCAACTTTGCTCCTGAGTCATCATTTAATGATGATGACTTTTATTTCTCCGACATTTCCCCGACTGACTTACTAACTGCGGTAATGTAATCCCACACCAATTCCATAGGACCAGATGGCATTCCTGTCAAATTGATAAAATTATGTCTCCCTGAAATCCTCCCAGTTCTCCTTTTCATCTACAATTTCTCCCTACAGAACTCAATATTCCCTTCCTCTTGGAAAAAAGCTATTGTACTCCCTTTAAATAAAAAGCCTAATCCATCCTCTCCCGAAGACTTTCGCCCAATCTCAATTCTTTCCAATCTCTCAAAACCCCTAGAAAGATTGGTGCAATCCCAAGTTTCCAATTTCCTCGAAAATTCCAACCAACTTGATCCTCTCCAATCTGGTTTCCGTCCCGGCTACTCCACACAATCCGCCTTAATCAAAATTACCAATGATGTTCAGACTGCAATAGATAATAAACAATTAACTGTCCTTATACTTCTTGATTTCTCCAAAGCTTTCGATTCCATTATCCATTCCATCCTTTTCAAGAAACTAAAATCATTATCCTTCTCCTATAGTTTCATCTCTTGGTTCCAGGCTTTCCTCTCACAACGAACCCAAACAGTCTCCATTCCTAATCAACCACTATCTGCCTACCTGCCTTTATCCTCTGGAGTTGCCCAAGGATCTAGCATATCTCCTCTCCTTTTTAGTTTCTATATTAATGACCTCCATGACTCAATTATCCATTGTTCCCACCACCTTTATGCTGACGATTCTCAAATATACCTATCCTTTTCCCCCCTGAGCTATTGGTTGCATTTACTAAGATCCAAGCAGACCTAGATCGAATCTGTGCCTGGACAAACGGATTAAGGTTAAATGCTTCAAAAACTCAGGCCATTCTCATTGGTTCCAAGCCCCTCCTTAGATCCTATACCGACTTTTCCATACTAAACCTTGGTGACCAGCCAATCTCCTTCTACTCCTCTGTAAAAAATTTAGGAGTATTTATTGATCAAACCCTCTCCCGGAGTCACCATATTTCTCACATCTCCCGACGGACAGTTTCTATCCTTAAACTATTCCATCGCTTCCGCCATCTCCTACCTCAACATACGCGTAGACTCCTAGTTTCCTCTCTCATCTTCCCCCACTTTGACTACAGCTGTGTGGTGTATGATGGACTCTCGGTGGAGCTCCGCGACAGACTGAAAAGATTAATGAACAGTTGCGTGAGATTTGCAATTGGTGCCCCGAGATACTACCATGTCTCTCACCACTACACTGAGTTAGAGTGGCTCTTCTCCTCCATTCGAAGACAATATTTCCTAGGTATATTCCTCTATAATATCATCAACAATCATCGTCCTTCCTACGCCTACAATCTTCTCCAATTTAAGTCCTCAATCCACTTCCTCTCCACAAGATCTCGACCTTCCGACCTTTACATTCCTTCTCACAGATCTGCCTCGTCCCAAAACTCCTTTATTGCTCGCTCTTTTAATTTTTGGAATTCCCTTCCTATCAAAATCCGACATTCTTTATCCCTATCTACATTCAAAACCATCCTATTCCAATTCCTGTTCCAAAAACAGTCAGATACCAGCTAATCTTTTATGTAAAATTACATTTTTTTTTATTTTATATATTTTTTTAACAGAAACACAGATTTTACTGATAAGAAGAATTTACATTTATTTTTTTTTTTGTGTTTTTTCTAAAAGGGTTTATTTATATTTTACCATTGTACATAGTTCTAAGTATCTTAGTATGGTTTCGAGAGTCTTGTATATAGATTATTTTATTTTATTTTGTATATATTATGTATAACTAATATTTTTTTTTGTTTTTTTACTGATGTATCTTTATCTTTACTTTTTATGTTTGTTTTTATCTGGCCAGATGTAAAATTTTAATTTCTGTACTTTTTTGTTTTTCTGAAGGGACTTCGTCCCAGAATAAAATTATTTTCTATTCTATTCTATATTGATAAAAAATTCATAAATAGAGCTATTGAACTGACAGATAATGAATACATTAAAAATATTAAAACACAAGATAAACAGAAGATCTTAGATTAAAAAAATTACCTTAAAAGACTCATTAATAATAATATGTTATAAAAGAAACTGAAATTATCATCTTCGACTTGCAAAGAAAAAAAAAATTAGAATCGCCGCTTTCTAAGAAAATCTTTCACAACTTCGGACTTGCAAAAAATTTTCTTTACATGTCAACAGTTCTATTGAGAATTATGATGATCCCTTAGAAATTCTAGAAATTATTGTTTTGAACCATGGTCTTAAAGTTGACTGAAAATAAGCCTCCCAAGTTGCACACATCGCGATGTTGGTTTTTCGTAACTATACTTAGTATTTTCGATTTTAAACAACATAACTATTTCTAAAATAATTAGGGACCTTTAGGATTCTTAGGGGGCTACTAGAACTCTATAAATAATTTCTAGATTTTGATTTTTATGGCCGTTTTGAGAAATTTATCCGTCGGTTTATTTAGAGTTCTAATAGTTCTCCAAAGAGTTCTAACAATTATCCTCATGAATCTAGCATTGAAATTGATATTAAAAGAGTTATAAGGCTTCAAAGTTGTACAAATCATGAAATTTGTTTTCCGTTGTATTTCCAGTGTCCTAAACAGCACATCTATTTCTAAAAAATATGGAAACTCTAGAACTCTTGGTGGTGGGAGGCTAGCAGAACTCAAAGAATTTAAAAAAATAATTGGGGACGGTGGGCCAATTTCACATAGGTTAGAAAACGCAACCCTGCATTCCACTGACGACTTTCGATACAGAGCAAATTCAATTTTGTCTTTTATTTTCGAAGGAAAGTAGACAAACAAACTAATAAATGAAATAATTCGGAAATCTTAATATGATCAATATTAGCAAAGGTGTGGAAAACATTATTCGTATTGGGCTTACATCTTGAAGTAAATAAAGTGTTTTAAATTTATGTTGATCTCAGTTATTGATTGGCAGTTTATTTTCACCTTTAACTTGATTTTTATATTAAGCACCTTTAATCCAATTTTATTTTCCTTATTTTCGTATCTATCAAAACATAAATACAAATCCTGATATTCATTAATAAAACCAATTTCATCATTAAATATTTATTTATATTCATTAAGTGTGTTATTTACAAGATGAACAATTACATCGAAATAATATAATAAATTATGAAGGACTACTTAACTTGATAACATAGAATAAATAATTATCTAGCAATAAATACTAATTTTTAAATAAATAAAATAAAATTGAAGTTGGGTAGAACCAAGTGATCTAGATAACACAAAAAATCTATAAAACTAATATTTACATCTGATCGTATTTGTTTGATCATATTTGATCTATAAGAATCCATTATTTAAGAGACAATTTGTAATATGTTATAGTTTTATTAACATCATTAGCAATAAAAATAATTTTTGATCTTAACTATTAGCTTTGGTCTATATAATTATATTAAAACAACCTGACTGAAATCAGTATTTGCAAAGCTCCTAGACTTTATCAAGTCATTTTTTTCCCTTTCTTTGAGTGTGATGGAAATGTACCTAGTAATAACAAATACTAAGAAATATACATTTTTGTAACATAAGTTTGCATGAAGATAAATTATAATATTTTTTTTAAACTAATTGTTGTTTTTTATGTTATATTTTATTCATTATTTTATTGTAGCAGTTTAACTGCTTTCTATCAAATATTTTTAGCTTTAAGTGGTACGATACATAATAAGGTAGATTCTGTCTGAAAATACAACAATGCTTACATAGGCGTCAACACATTTTTGATAGCATATGATAACAGTATTTAATGCATGGCAGAGGGGAGAGGAACAGAACATCGCAAGTATTAGTGCAGCCTGATAACACATAATATAATGCGTTGTTTATTACCTGCGATTTAATATAATTATACTCTGCTCTGTTATAAGTTAATTTTAAGTAAATGTCTTGGAATTATTGAGGAGGAAAGAGACACTTTAATACCCTTTACTGGCGGTCTCTTGCCTCTTCACAGTGCCAGCGCCTATGACGGTTAAAATTTATATTTCAGAGATGGTCAAAAACTACTCTAGAGCTAAAACCTAGTATCAAGCACTTTACTATAATTTAATCAAAATTGGAATATGAATGCAGTTTTAGAATAGTTGTTAATGGGTACAATAAAGCGTCAGCATTTAGTACGATACAGTCAGAGTTGTTGGTGCAAAATATAGTGTTTTAAACCTAGGCGGTGGGTTTGGCTGACGGGGGTGGCTGTAGCATGGACTTAGTTGCTGCAAGTAACTTCTCTGAGACGAGTTTGGCGATACTGCTTGACCGCCTCCAGACGAACTCCCTGGTCCTGTCGTAGTCATCTGGACTCTCCACTCTTACCTATGGTCAACAAAGAATTACCAACAGTAAGAAACATATCTCGAAGAATAATCATAATTAGGTTAGTTTTGTAAATTTCAAAATAACCCTATGATAACTAATCAGGTAATATTTTGCCATCCAAAAAGGGCAAATAAATACGAAGTATATTACTTCAAAATTCTAAAGAATATAAAATAGTAGATAATTTAATTGATTCAATCAGTTCAAAAGTAGTTTCATTACACCAATTTTGGGTTTTATCTAGATATGTAGACAATTAGAGGAGCGGGGTGGCACAGAGGTAGGTTACTGAGCTTCCAATTCTAAAGGTGGCAGGTTCGAACCCCGGCTTATGGCAGAAAATTTATTTATGTGTTTCATTGGCCGTGGGGCGACACTGGGTCTGGAGAACCTTCTGGGGCACACCCAGCCTCTATAAAATGGGTCAATTAATAATTAATAAATTCTCGTAAACTTTCTTAAACGTTCAGTTCTATCAAAATTGTACTTAGTGACTGTTTGCAATAAAAGGGCAATAGGGGTAATAGGAGGGGAACCTATTTATTATTAGAGGCCACAGTAGGGCTAAGCTAACAGAGGCCATGCCAATTTTTTATATTTTATTACTCCGCTAGGCACGAGAATGCTAAAGCAATGCTCTAATACGCTCAGCTATTACGACCTCTTAGTCATTTTCTCTGAAAACACGGGTACTTTTAGGTGACAAGATGTGAAATCACATCATTTTTTTTACACAACTTGAACAGGTGAATCCCTAATAAACCTGAACTTAGTCAATACCGTCGTAAAACTTTGTAAACAAGAAAGTTTTCCTAAAGTGTAGTTGGAGGATGACAAAAAAAAATCAGGAATAATTTATAACAGAACTTAGCTGAGTTTAACTCCTCAATAGTCCACTAAAAATGGTTTTAACAATAAAAAATTCTACTTTTATTTTAAGAAAGTTTGGTTTGAGAAAATTACTTAAATTAAATAGTTCTTTAGTTATCACGCCCTATTCAACTAAAACATGATACTTAAAAAAAAAAAAAACTTAAATTTCCTACTTATCTGCCTAAAGTCGGACCGATGTTTATATAAACTACAATATAATTACAATTATTTGTATCGGTTATTTCAGAAACAACACATGTGATACTTTTACTATTTTAAAATCACGCAAAAAACTATTCACACTAAAATTGTCATAGATACAACTTCACAAAAAATAAACGATCAATTGTTACAATATATATGTAATGTATCTTCTTGCATGTTTATATTTTAGTGAACAATATATGTAGAATAAATTTTAACTTTAAACCGAAAAAATAGACATGAGCTATTTTTGAATTAACCTATACAAAAATAATTGATCTAAGTTAATCTTCCAACAAATTAATCTGTAGTAAAATTGTCACATGATAAGCTGGCGACCTTTCACATCGGATTCTTCAGGTTATCTTAACATTTACGGTTTCATGAGACAGGGATTTTCGTTAGCCAGACTTTTATCAATTTTAAAATATACTAGAGTAGGTAAAATATTGAGCCAATCGTATGTTATACGAATTGATTTCTTATGACATAATTCATCAAATTAAGTGGCAAGAGTTTTAGGAACACCAGAAATAGATTTCTGGGATAAGTAGGTCAAGTAGGATAGAAACTAATTTTTAAATTTATTTGCAGATGTTTGTTTAATCAGCTATCTTCAGATTTTTTTTATGTAATTAAGTAATTTTCTTTTTGTTTTTTACTATAGCTTTGTAAAGTCATATGCTTTTCATCTTAATTGTTTTGTTATTTGAATCCGAGAAGAAGATTTAATTTAGTTTTTAATTAGTTTTTTGTATATTTTTTATTATTGCATGGGTTAATCTGATTTTTTATACGCATGTAGCAAAGAGTTAAAAAAATAATAATAATAATTTCTAATAAAAGAATAAAATATTTGACCTGCTTGGGCTGAAGGACCTTGATGGAATGGAGCGTGGCTACTCCTCCATTGAGCACCCTCAGGTTCAACTTTCCCGTCATCTCGGCTGTTGTTGCAGTGGCACTTCTCAGTTCTTTCTTAGCACCACGCCCGAACTAAAATAAGGTTTAATGTTTTACTACTTACTTATTATTGAGAGAAATGCTGTTTCCAAATAGGTTCACCATAGCTTCCTGACTAGTTTTATTGTATAGATTATCTATCTCTTAATGTTAATGATTTGTCGTTTGGGGGCGTAATCTACAGAAAGGGATTGTTTTGAAATATAGGTTTGTCAGTGAAAATACATTGGCGACTGAAAAGCAGTTTTGGAATTTCATAAAATTTAAATCGAACCATTTGTACATTAGTCATCTACACCTATGCTGTTACATTGTGCCAAGTCGAACGATCAGATTTTGAAATACAGTTATTTAAAGGAAAAACGTTCGCGCAAGCTTAAGAAAATAAGACGCTTGTATCCAACACTGGCTAATATTTATTGACAAATATTGGATATGTAGCCAACCTCCCAGCCTCTAATGTTTGGCAATCATTAGACAATGTTCTTAACCATTTATTTTTCTCCAAATATAGGCTTTTGTTTCATCATCATGATGATTATAGGTTGAGCAACGTTAAAGTTTATTATTTAAAATGCTGTGCCATAAAGACCTCGCAGTTGGGATTATCTGCAACTAGCAGGTTTTCAGTTTCGGGTACCAAATAGAGACCGTGTTTCCGCCACGTCGGAATCCACCATTCTCATATTATGCGGACCCAGTCTTTTCTTGACATAAAGCTCATTGCTTTGTTTCCTTATAAGAAATCCGTCGATTTCCATTCTCACCATGTGAAATATCATATCGATTAAGTACAATATATAATATTTAATACTTCGATTGTCAAGGTATTGTGAGAAACATAAGATAAGATAAGAATTTCTTGACAGAGCGTCATCGCAGGAAGTTGTTAATAAGCTAAGGAGAGGTATAGAAAGAATGAACAGCAGTGTCGGGTACTCCCAAATCACTATCATATGTCGGCAAGGGGAGGGATGAAACGTAAAATATAGCTGTGCGCTAATCGCACGAATCTCCTGACTCTGTGGGAGGATGATCTTCAAAGTTAATAAGACTTGCAGAGATGAGTGGATAATTTATATAGAAGAGTTAAAAGAATCTCTTAACCAAGGATGAACCGAGATTTTGTTTTAACTGGAATAATCACGTTAAGTTGACGAACGCTAAGCTGAAACGCTCCTGCCTGCTCCATAAGGCAGAAATGGAACAAACAAATCCAATTATTTATAGTATGTGTTTTCACCAAGAAAAGATTTACTCAAATATGACTACGAAGCTTTAAACCAAAAAAAAAACAATATTATTTAAATAGAGTGTTTCTATAAAATAATCTAGTAAAGGATGACGTCGATTTCAGAAGTGGACTGGATTCAATAACGAAAGCTTCGTATTTATTCGAGCTAAAGCAGGTTATAGATTAGTTAATATACCAAATTATGGAACAAGTAATAGAGTAGGTCATGAAATCTGGAAATAAATTAATGATCTAAATACAATTGAACTTGTTCAGTACTGAAAAAAATAATCTCAAAATAAGAGTTAAATTTTAATTAAAATGTGTGTAATCATATTATTCATTGAAAATATACTGAATTGAATACCTCCTTCTCAACTTTGAGAACCAAGGGTCCCACTAGAAACTTGGTCTTGACGGTCGTGTGCGAGCTCATGACGTTGACGGTGACATCGCCTTCCCGTTGAATGGAGGAGAGTCCATACAAGGTTGCCTTAGCCCTGGGGTTTCCACTCTTAGTCTTGGGTTTAGTCTTGTTCTGTCAAAACAAATAGGTAATACTTAGTGCTAACAACCATTCCAATTCATCCAATCATATACAGTGAATCATTTCAAAACAATTTAACAAGTTAATAGCAATAAGAAGTTATATTAGGTAGTTTGTAACTGCCAAAAGAGCAGATTTCATGTCCTAACGTCATTAATCAAACGTGAAAAAATATTTCTAAAAGAGTTAAAGTTAACATAATTAACAGTGAGTTTTAACCATACCATTATAAATAAGTAGTTTAGTTTTGTTTGTTGATTTTATTAAGTAACATGATGAGCTTTCGGTGTCCTGCACCATATTCTCTACTGAAAACATTTAATTGAACAACAAATATTATAGATTTATATAATATGTACCTAATTATATAATTGTCATGAGTGTTTTATCTATGGTCACGTTAGGGTGTAGATCGTATCTGAATGTATATGTGATTTCAATATTTTAATAGATTATTAAAAACTATTAGATTAAATATCAAAACACCTCTTTTACTATCATACATATTTTAACTAAATTCATTATATCATAGTTAAATTACGTGATCTTTAAAGTTGTACAAGTCTAACCATCATTGAAATAATCTTAAATGGCTTATTTGCAGAATTTTCAAATGTTTTCATAGAAGAGCCGATGAGACCTAATGAAGATAGTCCTCTGATTTGGAATAATTACAATAGGTTATCCACGTGGAGCAAAAGAAAGATCCAAGGAAACCTTTGAACTTAGTTACGAAATGATATCAACATGGATTACCTTTGTACTGAGACATTCAAAAACAGCAAAATAGACTTTATAGGCCGCAACTTTACACCTATATGATTCTCTTAACGAAAACGGGCCGGCGAAATTCACTCCTTCAATAAGCAATGGTTGCCCTTACTCGAAACGTAATTATGAAAAAAATATGACCAATCGATATATGAACATTTTCGCTGATAGTTGACGTTGTTAGTAAGAATTTTATCTGCACACGATCTCATCCACTTCTAAGACCTTTTCATTGTTTCCTTTCAACCCACTGAGAATATCCTACATACACACCTTCTGTACACTACTTCTACTACATGGATTGACTTTTTTATAATAGAGTCTTCCTAAAATTTAACATCTTTCTCTCAGATTCCGGTATCTATGTTTTAATACCATTTCATAATCTAATCAAGATTTCCAATAGCATTCCATGTCCTCAAATCATTCCCATGCAGTTTTCCTGCTGTTGCATCTAATCATTACCAGTAAATATATAAATACATTTTTTGATTCACTATTCCAAGATCCTATATATTTCCGAATTCCATTGATGAAATGTCTTTCCTTTAATCTTTCTCCGCACCACTTCTTGCATCTTGGATTGATCTTGGAATGAGAGAATAGTAAACAAAAGAAATAACTTTATGATTTTACGTAATGAATCTCCGAATAACAGAAACATTTAAACATTAAGTGGCTTCATACATCACCGTATAGAAGCCGGGTACTAGTATCGAAAATTGGGTACCGGATATAGTGCTAAAAATATAGCCGCGTGAGGTAGATCCCCCGGGTAACCGCCATAAAACTGCTTATCATTAATTTGTCCCTCATTCAGTTACTTAATAATTAATTATCCCAATAAACCTTATTTGAATATAATCAATTACCTTAACAGTGGGTGTAGCAGGCGTAGGATGCTTCCTCTTCCTGGGCTCAGCTGCTTGGGTCGAAGCTGATGGTACCGCAGTGGTCTGCTCTGTCATGAACTCAGTTGCCGCTTCGGTCACGTTACCTCTGCTCCTGAAGATTAGCTTTTGTTTAGATGACTTATTCCCGCGGTAATCCAAGAAGAAATAGATTAGAGGTATTAGTAAAAAAAACCTGATCTCTATATGTTATAGAGAGATAAACATTTTTACTTTCACTTACATAATATAGTATATATACAATTTAGTAAAAAAATTATTCCGATCGTGAAATTTTCGTAATCGAGTATTGAGGTTCAAATAACTAAGTTTTTCATTGGCCTACATAAAACTGTTGGTACTCAGTGGACGCGGAATTTGATGCTCTACGTGTTTTATTTTATGAGTTTATGAGTTTTTTCTAAGAGAAATTATTTTCAAGCTACAGGACCACTGTAGTAGTAATAGTAATTTGTAGTTTTTGACGAACTTTATAAAAAATCAGCGTTCGTAAACCGTGGTTATCGATCATACCAGCCTAGCAAAATATTATGTATAGTTACTCGTTCGACGCACAATTTAACGCCCTTTAGTTTTTGAAAGAGTACTTTTTCTCTTAGATGCACCGTTTAGGAGTTATATGTGAAAAAACAAAAAAGATCGAAACATTCTGACTTTTTTGGCTTTAAAATTTTTCTCTTGGTGGCCTGGTCAACAATTCTGTGTAATATGAAAGTTATAAAAATAAAAGCTTTTTCCACATTTTTCGCAATGAGTTGCCCGTTTAGATCCTCAAGCTACTGTTTTAGTATTCTTTAACTCAGCCACCATTTTTACAGGTAGGAAGATCCAGCTGGCAGACTCTAATTTTTTTAATATAATTGTTATAATTATTTTTAAAAAATGCTTTCAAAACATTCATCAAATAATGTCGATTTGCACGGTCCCTTGGACTATTATAAGTGACCAAACTAAATGTTCCTAATCCTAATATTTACGTTTCCATGGAAATAATTTAACAATAATTTAAATAAATAAACACGGAAAAAACTTTAAGGCGAAGTAAGGGAAAAAAGGGAAAGTATGGCGAGAGAGATGGAATAATGCATGTTTTGACCTTTGGGAGATTTGGGTGATTGGGTGAGAAAACCGCATATGAGTGGACCGAATAGATTGAACTCTTCAAAGAAATTGCATATTTATTATTAGACTATTTGTTCCAGAGATATAAAAATGTTAGAGAGGATGATCCAATGGCGGTTGTCTTTAGGAGATGTAGGATTGGAGTTTTCGTTAGATTAGATTTTGAATTTTGAGGAGTTTAGGTACATATGTGTGTATTATAGGGATTTCGTAAGGACAGTAAGAGGCAAGTAGCGATTTAACGATTTCTCTACAGTCATTGTAGTACCTCCATATGATGTGTGGTCTGAAAGATCAGTTTTGTATGTTTCGAAATTTTTTCTGGCATGAAGGTTTGTTTGTTAGTTACACGAGTTTCAGTTATCATGGGAATGTTTATGTCATGTTCTATTAGACTACTTATTTGAAGATAGAGGCTAATTTTGTAAGAGATTCTGACGAAAAATGAAAAGATAAGAAAGAGGGAAGGTGAATAGAAGGGGTTTGAATTAAATTTATAGATTACAATACAAAATATACTTACGATTCAGTCACTCTAGACTGCTTTTCTTTGTTCTTCCTCTTCTTGTGTTTGTTCTTTTTGGTATCGGAGGAGGATTGCAGCCTGACGTTAACTGGGTCGTAGCTCTTTCTTAGGATCTTGTTGATCCTATCCAATATTGTGTCAACGAACCTGTTGTATTTGACGATGTAGGCAGGAGGAGCCATGTCAGCATCATTCAGAGAGCCTATGAATATTTTTTATTAGCCGAAGTTCATGAACATAATTAAAGGAACATATTCTATTACATATCAAGAATACACAGCAAATTATGTACATATGCTTTTCTGTGTGATCTGATGCACAGGCGGATCTACGGGAGGGGGGCTTTCGGGCTGAAGCCCTCCCCCAAAAAAATAGTAAAATATACCATGTTTTACAGAAAAAAATATTAAAAACTATCTCTTAAAGTATTCTTGTAAAAACTATCTCTTAAAGTTTTACAGTAGATATGCAACAACTTAGGAGATAGAATTACATCGTTTTTTTAAATAATGAAGTCGCAATAGAGCTTTATTTTACTTGAAGCATGAAGCATCCAAACAATTGTCCTTCCTTTGGTCAATACTAGTTATGATTATTTTATTTTATGTTACTGCCAGTGAATACACATTTATGTTATCCCAAATGAAGAATACACAAACACAAATATAAATGAGCATCATTAACATACAAACCTGACTAAATTTCTCTCACTATAAAAAAACAAGATATACATTCAAATTTGATTCTCCCAGAATGATTCATAATTTTTTAAGGATGTTGAGGTACAGTCAATACTTTAACATCTTTATGTTAGCGACCTTCTGGGTTTTTATTGAATTTTTGTTCGCTACAGGGAATAACTGTTAAAATAATCATAAAAATCAAAAATGTCAAGAAACATTTTCTGGTTGATTTCAACTGGACTAACTCTGTATAACATTCGTGATAATTAAACACAAAATTCATTAAATCGTAAATTGGTCGATTACAAAAAATACGATAAAAAATGTGTCAGAGTTAAATATTTTATTTTTTATTAAATACAATTTCGTTACCATTATCATTTTTGTTAAACTTTATTCTTATTCATTTAAAAACAACTTCTCTATCTCATAAAAATGAGATTTTTAGGTTTAGAATTAACTAAGACAAGTCCGAAAATTTCTGTACAGCTTAAATATCTTAAAAACAACAAATAAAAAAAGGTGGTGCGAGCAACACACAACTTTCACTTACGGCTCAACTTTGAATAGAAATTATTTTCTAGCAATGTTGGGCTATTATAAATTTTTTGAAAGTGCATTTTAAACGGAGGTAAAACTTTAAATTCACTAATAACAAATCATTAAGACCATTAAAATTACAAAAAGTCTAATTATTACTTTGACAGTAGGCAATAAAAATCTAGTTATTCCATCTGCTTTTATAAACTACACAACATCAGTCTCTGAGTCTTTCAGTTGACAGAATGATTAACTCCAATTTCAACATTTTTGAGTAATGTCATTTTAGTGATATTTCTAGTTGGAAAACATATATCTACACAGACAGTGAGTAAGTTGATCCCAGATCAGGTGATTGGAGTCTTGAAATATAGAACTGTGAATAAGGGTATAAATTTTGTCACTAGAAGCATCACTAAAATTAATTACAAACAAGTTGAAATTGGAGTTAGTCATTGTGTCAACCGAAATGCTCATATATGGCTAGAGAGATTAGGAAGTATATCTGAATATTTAACCTATAAACGATTATCGATTGTAAGACTATTAGTTATTAAACTGTTATTTTCTATTGTTAAGTTTACTAAAATGAAATTACGAGATTTTCATTGTCTGCCATGGATAGGGCAAAAGCTGTCACACTAATTGAAAGTGGATAATGTTGGGATTTCACAAAAGGAAAATTCATCATATTATTCACTTTTTTAATTTCCTAAAAAATTTACTTGATGATTTTTTGTAATAGACTGCCACTTGATATCTAATTATTTAAATATCATATCACCTTCCAGCATCAATCCACATTTGGCACGCACACCGAACTTTCATCGACAATCTTACCATTGTTACTCACTGATTCATTTGTATCCTGATTTCTTTTAATTTATTATTTCATCACGTTTAATTTATTTAATCTATTTCAGCATCTTCCCATCAAATACTGATTGTACTCTCCTAAATCCTACTCATGTCTAGTGTCTGAAACATCAACTCCCAATCCCTTTCAGCTCATTACGATGAATTCCCAGATTATTTTGCCCAAAACTTTTACTACATCAATACGATTTCCGAAACCTAACTCAAACCTTACATCCCATCCTCTTGTGTTTCACTTCCCAAGTACATACTAATCCGTCACGACCGAGACAGCCGGACTGGCGGAGGTGTAACTATGTACTTTCATGAAAGCCTGAAGACCCGAAGTCGAGTTCCTAATTGTCGAGACCTCATATAACACCTCTTCTCTCCTCTACACCGCAGTATATCGTCCTCCTATTGTTCCATTTGATTCATCCTTCGAATCATCCGTCTTCAACTTTGTTCCTCTTTATTCCAAAATTATCATTTCCGGTAACTTAAACACTAATCTCCTTTCCGACTCCAACGATAAATCATATCACGAAAACCTTTTTTTCTCTCTTCGCCTATTTATCGTTCCTTTTTCTGCCACTCATCACACCACCAGGACCGTCACTTGGTTGGACTTGTACATTATTGACTCCGCTCAAATCCTCCTTTCCTCTTCCCAATTACCAGTCTCCTTGCTATCGTCGCATGAACTGATCCAAATAACATGCAATACCCAAACTCCTCCGGTCCTACCTATAACCATAACATTCCGTAACCTTGATAACCTAACTCGAGACAAAGTCCTACCCTGAATGGAAACCATAGATGGAAACCATAGATGGAAACCATGGATTATATTCCTGTTCCACAATTGATGCCATGGTGGATATCCTCACCTCCAATCTTCTTAATATCCTTGAAGCCCATGCCCCTCTCAAAACCTCTACCTTTCATCGCCGTCAAGCTGCCTGGATGTGTCAGCAAATTAAGGATCTCCAGAACAGGCGTGAATCTACTCGTAGACGCTTTAGACGTTTTAGGCTGGCTGGCGACTATCAAGCGTTTAGGGTGCTCCGCAACCTGACACAAACCACAATCCGACGAGCCAAATCAACCTATTTTCATGAAGCCCTTTCATCAGCTCCTGATTCCAAATCCAACTGGCTATTCCTTCGTAAACTCTCCCTCTGTGAATCTTCCAGATCTCCTTCCTCAGCAGTATTTCCAATTTCACCAGATGATTTAAACTCACATTTTATGTCTGCTTCCTCATCCACTCCTCCTTTTAATGCTTCCTTCTCTACTTCCGGTACATCCTTTAGTGACGACGACTTTTACTTTTCCATTTCCCATTACTTTTACTTCCCATCATCTCTATGACGATGGTTCCCAAATTTACCTTTCCTTCATTCTCATCACATTCAGCTCCTCAGTTAAAAACCTAGGCATTTGCATTGACCGAACCCTCTCCTGGAATCACCATATTGCCTACATCTCTCGACGGTCAATTTGTACCCTTAAACCATCTCCTTCCTATACTCACACGTAGACTCCTAGTATCCTCCCTAATCTTCCCCCACCTTGACTACGGCTGTGAGGTGTACGGCAGCCTCTCGTTGGAACTCGGGGACAGACTAAAAAGAATTATAAATATCTTCGTAAGATTGGTTGAAAGGACCCCGAGACGTTCCCGTGTTTTTCACTACTATGACCAGTTAGGATGGCTCTTCCCCTCCTTCAGAAGACAATACTTTCTTGGCACATTCCTTCACCACATAATCAACTATCATCTTCCGTCCTATGTATACAATCTCCTCCAATTTAAATCATCTGTCCGCTCCCTCTCCACCAGATCTCTGCCTTCTGACCTTTACACCCCTTTTTATAGATCTGCTTCATTTCAACATTCTTTTATTGTCCGCTCTTCCGCCTTTTGGAATTCCATCCCACTTAAAATACGCCATTCACCGTCCTTATCCACATTCAAAACCCTCTTATTCCAATTCCTCTTCACAATCCAAACAGACGCTAGTTAATTATGCATCATGTACCAAGGATCATTTTTTTTTCTTTTCATACACCATTATTTTATTTTATTTTTTTGATTATTATTTATTAATTGGAAAGAATCAGTATCACTTTTGGCATAGCACTTTGAGGTGATGCATAAAAAATAAGAGATTGTTTATTGTTTTTATCCATTTTTCTTTTTTTCCTTCTACAAGATTGTATATATTTTAGACGTATTTCATTTTTTACATTCCTCAATTTGAATACATATACATCTTTTCCTATCTTAATCTCCGTGATTTTTTTATATTTTACAATACCATTGCGTATTGTATAACATATATAAATAATTTATTTTCTGTAAATCATTTTTGTTTTTCTCGCAATTGTTTTTATTACAATTGATTTAATTCCCCTTCCTAATTGGGTTTATCTATATAATCTATTCTTATTTTATGCTGGGATAATGCAATATTGTGATACCGTTGCTCATCTTCTGCCATTAATATATCTTTAATCTATGTATATATCTTGTATGCTTTAGCTGGTTGGGTTTTAACATCATTGGGTTTTAAGTCACTTTTTTTTTTTACGTAATTTTGATATTTTTTCTTTTCTGGAGGTTTTGCTTTTTCTTTCTATAAATGTAATTCTTTTTTTCTTTTTGTCATTTTTTTTTTAGTAAAATTATAAGTGTAGTTGAGAATATTTTATTTTATATTTTACTAATTTACATACTATTATTTAAGTTGTTGTATATATTGTTTTAATCTTTATTAAGTTAGTTTTTGGCCAGATATGTATTTTTTCTTTTGTAACTGTTCATTATCGTTATTCTAAGGGGACATTGTCCCAGAATAAAGTTTATTTTCTATTCTATCTTGAATTATTAAACTACAGTAAATGTATTTAAGGTAATAAACATATCCATGAAATATTTTTATATTTCCCTTCTTCTTTCACACAAGTACAATGAAATAATATTTTAAACAATGACATTGGCCTGATTCGGTGGATTTTGAATACTTTTTTTTCAAACTTAAAAACAATTTTACTAAGAAAATTTCATTTAACTTGCTTGGAAACATGTGATTTACGTTAAATAATGTTAGTTTTCTGA